TATAGGAAGTGGACTTTCGGCGGGTATGAATACTTTTCAGGTGTCTACTGAAGGTCTGAGCAATGTTCATAGGCTCAAACGCGGAGACAATGGACGATTTGATGACGGCGACTTGGCTACCATTCTACAGGACGCTACCAAGAACCGAGCGGCTGCCTTCGGTGCTCGTGGTGTCCCCGAAGTTCTCAGGGTTATTGAGATTATGGGAATCGAACAAGAGAGAAGCTGGGGAACATGCTCTGTTAGTGTCGCCCGGACTGTGATCTTCCGGTTATTGCTCACAATCTATTTCTCAGCTTAATGAGTTCCGGAAATTTATTGGCTTACAACGTGAGAAATGCGATACCCACTGTAAACAGCGATGCTAACGTTGGGATAGCATACAAGAGCTTTGCTGAATGGAACCCGGACAAGGATATTCAGGTAGATAACAACATGCGAACTTTCTGCTTCATCCTAAAGTTGTCAATCTTAGGCCGCTGCCGCTTCGTTATATCAGGACATCGACAATCTGGAACTTCATGTAAGAGGGAATCTATCATCCAGAAACCTGTGTTGATGGATTGCGTTCTTAGGTCGGAATGCAAGCAGAAGAAAGCAAAACACCCGGTCCCGGTGCAGGACTATGCCCTGGATATACTATCTCTCGCGCCATTCTCGCCGACGCCGTATGCCTTACTCGTGGCGATCCCTATCTCACTGTCGACATGACTCGTACGTTTGGCATTTGGTTGTTGATCGTTCCAGCTTATCAGTATGCTAGCTTTCAACTTTACAACATGGGGTTACAACGATGTCCAGTACGACAAGAACGACGGCTCTTACGGCGGTCTCCTTACAAAACTGCTCTTCCGTACTCTCCCTAACCACTACACGCCGCGGTCTGCGTATGCCCATTTTCCCTTCCTGGATCCCGAGTATATGAAGACAGACACGAAAATTCCATTGGATAAGTATGATTTCAACCCCCCATCCAAGTCGTACAAAAGACTCGTTGTGGTTGGGACCTACGATGGCGTCAAGCAAGTTGCGACTAGCAGCGACTTTGCTGCGCCCTACGACATGAACTTGAGAGCAATCATTCCTGACATTGGATCGCACATCCCCAACACGGCAGCGGTAAGCTTCAGCATCCTTGGGGACCATCATTGATTTAATTTGACGACGTACACAGGTACAGAAATTGTTGACGCAGGACAAGGCCCGATGGGCAGTATATTTCCGGAACACGACGAGGGATCTCATCACGAAGGCTAGCATTCCGCGCCCTGGGGTCCAAGTTCGCCACCTGGACATCGTCCGGGATGTCATAAACGTCCTACCCATCAAATGGATTTGCCAGGAACTGGTATGCTGTCTCTATGTTGTAATCCCTCCCTATTCTAAAGCTCGACGTTAGGCCGGCCTCACGATTTCCGATTCAATCGACGGACACTCGTACACGGCGTCTCAGTACTATGATATGTTCGCAGAAGTGTGTCAGTAAGTGATTTCGTCGCCTTGCTCTTTTTTGCTTGTTCTTATCACTGTAGGTACATTTATGTGAACACGGAGCGCGAAAACGACTGGCACCTTCGTGAAGGGTCTGCCAAAACGTTCGAACATTTCCGCGACGTCGTCAAAGGCCACGTCGACGCGTTCTCGTCATGGGTTCGTGATGTTTCTACGGGCTGTTTTCTCGTTGCTTATGTTTTTCCAGCTCTCCGTCGACGGTAATCCACTGTCTTACAATGATCATAGCAAGGAGTTCTTGAGATCATTGAACAAAATGGTCGGCTCTGAGGGGAAGACAGCGGCGATTGTTGCTCTTTTCAGCGAAGTCGTGCCCACTGCAGTACAGTTCTCGCAGATCCTCTCCTCTGTCGTTGACTACCATCTTCAATCTGGGACACCGTTGACGAGCAACTTTGATGCATTGGTAGCTGACGCGCTGAGTACGTGGTTTCTTTTTCGTCGATACAAAGCGAGTTGCTCATAGATTGTCAGCTGAGGACCCCATTGTACGTATCTTTCAGCTGGGATATCCATCCATTCACGTCTTCTCAGGTTTCTGGATTTTACCGTACGCCTCTGCGCCCGGCTACCGTTCCCGACAACGTTAGAGTAAATCCTGGCGATCGCGTCTGGGCAAGCGTGGTAGAGGCTCATCGTGATGGTAATCGAGCCTCGACGTCCCCAATGGATATCTACTTTGGTGTAGAACGCAAAGGGTGAGTCTTTACCTACTCCATCTTGCGCCTTGTCTCATGGAGTACAGATTGCTTGCTCCGGCACTCTTCAACGAGATTGTTCCTGGTATTCTTCAGGAATTCCTGTCACTTCCGGGTCTTCAAAAGACTGGTAACTTTAATCGGTTAGTGCCTTCATTGACTTGGTCCGTGAACCGCGACTTATCGGTGTGACTAGATTCTATGAGTATCGGAATGGCACAAAAGTGCAGATGTTTGTGAATTTGAAGGGGAACGTTATTCCTTTCCCGGATTCGTTGAACGTTCAATACACTCATAAGTAGATGTTTTTGCGGTTTCTTCAATGTTGTAATTATAGTTTCTTGAATTGTCAAATACAGGATGACAGGACATCCATTGGGTCACAAGTAATATGACGGCTCCCAGTGCGAGCATCTTTTCGTTCCCTCTCATTCGTTTGTCGGGACTAACGATGCAGAGATCACAAGTTGGGTTTGTCAATATACTAGACACGGTTGTGCTTGCGGAACTAGTACGTTTGTAGAATTTGCCTCCTGTATGACTTAGTCTGGGGGGTCGGGTGCACACTCGTTATACGCCACAACAACGCCACAAGGCTGTGTCTTTGAATGTGTATGGAAATGTTTTCGTACTACTTTTGTCTGGTTTTTGGAAGAGTGTACATCTCCGATGTGATAGACTACCAGGCCATTGTATAGTTTAGCATGAAATGATATGCCACGTACCGTTCATCGGTCGGTCTCCTCTATTTGACATCGCATAGTCCGCAAGGTATCCATACGAAGTTGGAGAAATGATTGTCTCCAAGTCTACATTGTCTTGACGAACGCGTCATTCGCTCTTTTATTCCGCGGACGCGCAACTGTTTCAGCCGAGGCACCCGCCACGCAGCACCACCCTCCTTCAAACATCCCAAATTTTCAAAAGAGATTTTTAATGCAAAGGCACGGGCACACTTAAGGCGTCATCGAGCTTAGCCTTCGATCGACATTCAAGCCGGCGGCATCACAGCTATCCGTAACAGTAACCTTCTCCTCTACCACCACCTTGGACACGACGGTCCTCTTCCGCTCCTCTGTTCCCGACTGTTCTCTCATCGCCGTCTTTATTGTTCTAATTGACGGTACATACAGACCCGATCTGGCAAAAGATCAGCCAACCCTTGCCTTGATCTCAAGCCAACGAGTCGAATCGCCATGAACTTTTTCAAGACCAAGCCTCGTACTCCACCCGACCTTGTCCGTTCTCTGCGCGAGAACCTCCCAAAGTTAGACTCGGCTGCCCCTGGCGGTGACGTACGTAGGAAGGTGCGCTCCGTTTGGCATGGACAACATGCTGAACAACGTGCTCTATTTCAACGCGTGCTAACGAATGCGGTCTTCATTACATACAGGCAAGCGAGGAAATATCCAAGTCTCTACAGCAAATAAAGGCCCTCTTATACGGCGATGGTTGGTGTCTCCTCTCTGTCTGGCAATCGAACCATCCTGACCATTTTGTCTGTCGTAGAAACCCCCGACACTCTCGCCCAGCTCGCACAAGAAACATACTCATCATCCCTTCTTCTCCTTCTTATCAACGCTCTCCCACGTCTCGATTTCGAGTCCCGCAAAGACGCCGTCCAAATTCATACAGCTCTGCTTCGAAGAAGTATTGGGCAACGGCTACCAACAGTCGAGCATTTAACCCAAAATCCGCAGGCTCTTTTTGCTGCTCTGGAAGGCTACGGAAATGAGGAGATAGCGCTCAACACCGGCATGGTGCTGAAAGAGATGCTAAGGCATGAGAGCCTAGCAAAGATTCTGCTCAACAGCGATCAGTACGCATCTCTACTATCTCTATTCCCCTGCTTGACCTCATATGTGCAGATTTTACACCTTCCCGAACTACATCGAATCAACAACCTTCGGCATTTCATGTGACGCCTTCTCCAACCTCAAAGAAACTCTCACACGCCACAAACCTATGGTCGCGACATACCTTGAGACTCATTACGACCGGTTCTTCTCCTCCTTCACCACGCTCATATTATCCAACAACTACGTTACAAAACGTCAATCGTTAAAGTTGCTGGGCGAGATCCTCCTCGACAGAGCCAACTTCAATGTCATGACTCGTTACATCGCCAACGAGGCCAACCTCAAAATGATGATGAATCTACTCCGGGACAAGAGCAAAAACATACAGTTCGAGGCGTTCCATGTGTTCAAGGTCAGTCCTGCTATCGACGTTTGGAACGTGCCTGATTGGTCTCCTAGGTGTTTGTGGCCAACCCGAAGAAGCCTCCTCAGATCGAAACCATTTTGAGGCGAAATAAAGACAAGTTGCTCTCGTTCCTCAAGAACTTCCATAATGACAAGGATGGTGAGTTTTCGTTGCTGTGGTCATATCATTTGGTAGTCTGAAAGTGACATAGACGAACAATTCAGCGACGAAAAGCAGTTCCTGATCGTCCAGATACAGAACCTATAAATTTCGTCTGTACACATGTTCTGCTGTCTCCGTCCGTCCTTTCGTACATATAATCGATCAACTCAGTCATTACACCTCTCTCTCTCATCATTGTTGTCCTTCCCACCCATTGCTCCGTACATAATTACCCATTCTGCCTCTCCTGCTTGCATACCCGCACGCCGTTATCTCATATCTGGTATCATACATATATTACTTGCAACTTATTGACACAATTCGCTGCTTGACGATGAGAGAAGTTGGCCTGAAGTGATATGGAATGGATTGCTTCGCTAAGTAAAAGCTGTCACGGATAGTCAGCACAGCAAGCTCTCACATGCCCTGTTGGCGTAGTGGTAGCGCGTCGCACTTGTACACGTCTTTCGCAAGATGCGCACATGCGAAGGTCATTCGTTCAATCCGGGTACAGGGCATACATCACGATTCTTCATCGTATTTTCGCTGTCTCTGGGTTTTTGGGGTGGCGCAGTGAACCTCCGGCTATGTTAATACCGGTATGTTTCAAACATTTGATGTGGCGCAGGGTCTTATCGCTGTCATCGCGCTACTCCTAGGCTTTTTTAGCGCTAGTACGTCGGCCAGGTGCCGACCATTATTTGATGTAGTAAACCCCAGGCATCTCAAATCTAGGGTTTACTTAGCCACCCTAGGGAGGACTGCCAGAGGTAGGGTGGCGGGCCCAGAGGAGCTGGTTTCCAGACCTAACGCTTGTTTAGTAGCAGACCAAACAACAGAAAGATGAATGTACAGACAGTTACCAATCAACAAGAGAGGACCCGTCAATGGGACAACTGGCTCTGTACCGCGTTATGAACTCAAGTCTTTGGAATCCATGGTATCTTTGTCCTGGTGTATGTAGTACTATTATGTACCGTGCACTCAAAGGTAGCTGCAGTGACGAAAGGAATACAAAGCCGTCTCTCTGTGCTATTTGTCAGCTTTGTCCCGTAGATTGGTACATAACTGTATGTAAATGATAGACACGTAGAACGAAATACGCGTTGGGAGTCCAAAAAGGTAACGCGCTTGCCACGTGAGCGCCGGAGTCGGACTTTAAACTCTGTTTAGGCAAGGTCGTGGACGACGTGTTCCGTCTTGCAACTCCCTCTTCATCTCGCGTTTTATTCAAATCTGTTTTCTTTGGGATGCTGACGACGATTCCGAGGACTGCTGCGTTCTCATGGGGCCCTGGCACGCAGCTGGCGACGGGCTCCGAAGCCGGATTGGAGCTCTGGGATCTGCTAAAATACGAGCAGAGTGCCACGACCGGTAATGCAGCCGCCGCCTCAAAGAAGCACAAGGTTCAAAATTCAGGAACTGGAGAGGACTTTTTCGACAATCCCGTTGACGCGGAAGCTGAAGTCGAGCAAGACTTGGAACAGGACGTCGAACAAGTCAATGGCCCAAAACCGCGGGGAACGGTCAGGGAATCAGCAAGGTATGCATCAGCTGGGCGTTCGTCTGAAAGCTATTGATTAGTGCAACTAGATTCATTAATGTCGGATGGGGTGCATCAGGCGTCATTGCTGCGGGACTGGAAGGCGGTGAGCTCAAGATGTGGGATGCCAACAAAATTCTCGCTGGCGAGGGGTGCGCTTTCCCTTGTTACCCTCGTCGTAAGCTTGTATCTAACGCTTTCCAGAACATCAGCTCTACTAGCATCGCACACACGCCCAGTGCGGGGCCTTCAATTTGGGCCAATCCAGCATCATCTCTTGGCTACTGGAGGCGGAGCTGGCGAGGTTTGTTCACTTATGCTTCATTCACAGCTACTTTCTGACTGTGCCATAGGTATACATTTGGGACGTGACGTCGCCTGCTGGTGCACCCTACGCGCCTACAAGTGGTAAAGCTGACGCCGAAGCTGTCAAATGGAATCGCGTCGTTGCTCATGTACTTGGTGGAGTTGGTGGTAGTGGTACGTCTTTACCAGACGCTTTCGCATTATCACTAAACCTTGATTTCAGGTGCGGTTGTATGGGATCTGAGGGGAAAACGAGAGGTTGTACGTCTTCCAGGTGGCAGAATGAGCGATCTTGAATGGTGCCCTGATAATGTCAGTCGTGGCCATGCTTTACAAGCGCATACCATTGACATATTTTCTAGGCGACCAAGTTGGCTACTGCCTGCGAAGACGACGGAACGCCTGTCGTACAGCTCTGGGATCTCAGACATGCGCGTGCCGCTGAAAAGGTTCGTCATTTTAGTATGCCTTACGGACATGTATCCAATTGTATACAGGCCTACACCCACCACACCCTAGGCGTTCGCTCGTTATCCTGGAATATACATGATCCAAGTTTCATGCTCTCTTCTGGCAAGGATGGCCGCGCCGTTTGCTTTTCGTCGTCCTCGGGCGAGATACTTGGAGAGGTCATCGGTCAAGGCAATATATCATGGTCGCCCTCTCAGCCTGGTATCGCTGCATTTGGCGGTGATAGCTCTGTCAAGATATTACCTTCACAAAATTTGGAACGCGAAAAAGACGACGTTGACGGCGGAGAGGACTTTTTCGACGTAGCCAGACAGGAAGGTGAAGGTCTGGGTTTGACCAAGGCCGGCCGATGGCTCGGGAGTCACGGGGGCGTTAGCTGGGGCTTTGGCGGAAGAGTTGTCACATGGAGCCAGGAGGGAAGGATTGCCAAGGTTCGCAGAGTGGTCTGGGAGACTGACAAGGTCGACCGGGCGAAACGACTGGTTGGCGCTATCAAGAAAGGAGGGAATGAGGGTGGCTTAAAGGATTTGGGCGTACTTGCTGAATTGTTCGAAGGCGACGTCCAGACGCGCGTTGCGAAGCTTCTCGGCACTGACGAGACCGAAGAAACCAAGGAGCAGGATGAAGCGGAAGACGAAGACTTCTTCACGCAAACCCACGTTGACTCGGATCCGTACACCATCGACACCGCCGACCCAGTGACTAGTGCGCTGGTGAAGGGTGACATCTCTCGTGCCGTCAAGGCTTGTATAAAGGAGGAGCGATGGGCGGAGGCGTTACTGCTAGCGATGAAAGGTCCAGCCGATCTTTTGGATGAGACTCAGAAGAAGTACTTTGGGCGAGAAAGTGCTTCCTCAACGTCATCAGAGTCCCTTGTCAAAGCTGTGGTTCGTGGCGAGATTAGCGATGTCGTGAAACGTGGAGAAGGCTGGCGCGATGTTCTCTCGATTGTTTCACGTTATGCTGCTACCAGCGAACCTCAGGAAGAGACGTTCGGGGCGTTGGTCGAACAAATGGGCGAACGCTGGGCTGAAGAGGAGTTATGGGTCCTGGGCGGAAGGCTTGAAAAACTCGTCGATGTTTGGGGATCGGGAGACGATGGCTTAGAGGGTCTAATGGAGCGCGTGGCTGTCTTTAGAGGTGCTACTGGATTTGTCGACCCCGATCTAGCAAGACCTGCGCCGAAGTCCAGCGAGGATGGCGAAGATTCAAAACCACTCAAGTGGAAGCTGGCGAAATTGTACGACAAGTATCTGGAGTACGTCGATATACTTGTCGGGCAAGGTATGGCGGAAGAAGCGCGCGTCTTCCTCGAGTTCATTCCAGCTGGCTACGAGGGTGCGCAGGGTATCAGAGAGAGACTGGGCATAAATGCCAAACCCACGAACATCGCTGCTGCTGTTGCGACGACCAAAACGACTCTCAAACCGGCGTATGCCGCACCCATCTCGACTTTTACTCCCGCAGCGCCGACGACTGGGTTTGTTCCTGCGCCTGCTCAGGGAGGGTTCTCGCAACCTGGCTATGGGCCTGCTGGCTATCAACAGTTCAGCAATGGGGCAACTGGACGGGCGTATCCGGCAGGTCCTGCGTCAACGTCTACAGGCTACGCGCCACCTCCCAATCAATTCACCAATACTGCCGCTCCAGGTCCATACTCGAATCCAAGTGCTTCTCGTGCACCCCAGCCATCTCAAGCAGTTGTACCTCCACCGCCCCCCAAGAGGGACAATGCTGGGTGGAATGATGCACCGCCTGCCAAGAATGTTCCTCCCAAATCGAAGTCGTCTACGCCCAAGCCCATTACGAATCCTTTCCCGAATTCAGCGACCCCGTATGAGATGGTGAGACCTGGAAGCAGGGGAATGACATCGCCGCCTCCGCCAAGGGGTATGGTTTCTCCTCCCCCTCCGCCTCGTGCTGGTGGACCTCCTCGACCAGGTTCGACGAGCGGGTTTGCGCCACCTCCACCAGGTGGAAGAATGACTCCTCAGCAGCAGCAGCCTGGCCCATACGGACCGCCACCAACAGGTATGATTTTTTGCGAAACTCATTTCGGGCTTTATTCACGTTTCTCATTCTAGTCTCTTCTATGCCACCACCGCCAGGTACGCATCATATGGTCTAGAGGCAACTTGCACTAATGAACGACAGGTTCTACGTTTGCCCGTCCGCCTCCTCCTCAGCAAGGTGCCTTCTCAGCAGGGGGCCAATTCGCGGGCCCTCCACCACCGAGCGGCGGTTTTGCCCCACCGCCCCAGCAGTACAATTCTCCAACGTCTCCGCAGGCCGGGTTCGCTGCTCCTCCTCCTCCTCCAAGGGGAGGATTCGTTCCTCCGCCTGCCGGACCACAGTTTATTGATGGACCGGGAGCACCTCCAGTCATGGGAGGTTCCGCACAGTATGCACCGCCGCCACAACACGGTGGTTACGCACCGCCCCAGCCGCAGGGATCTAACGCCTACGCCCCACCACCCTCAGCCGACGGGTTCACGTCGCCAATGGGAGGCCATCCTGGACCGGGGATGGGAGCACCGCCTCTCGCAGGACCTGGTATGGGAGGACCACCTCCCCCATCAAGTATGGGCGGACCGCCACCTCGTGCAGCGCCCAAGAAGGAGGAGAAGAAGGTTGAGATGAAGTACCGTGCGTCGTTCACCTCGTGTCATTGATATAGTTGGTGTTTATCGTGCTCAATCACAGCTCCCGGTGACCGGTCGCATATACCTGAAAGGACTCGGGAGGTGTTCGAAGTGCTTGATGGGGAGCTGGCTAAAGTTTCAGTGAGTTTCGACACCTCTTTTTCCGACCTTTGCTTGACTGCGTTAATGGTAGCCCCCTCATAATCGGGATCTCGCCAAACGGTTGAACGCACTTTTCGATGCGATGAATTGCGAGACACTGAAGCCTGCCGCGGAGGATGGACTTCGAGCGTTGAGTCGAGGTGTGTCTTCCTTATCAATATCGATGTTTGAAAGACTCACTAGAATTTAGCAATTGCGGCGAGAGATCGACCGGCCGCGTTGGCTCTGCATGTCGAAATGCTCACGAGAGGTGATGGTGATGTGGCGTGGATGAGTGGTGTGAAACAGTTGATTGTAAGGCTATAAGATAGAATAATGTCCTGTTCTGTCAAATATGC